GGGGCTCTGCAGCTGGAGAAGAGGAGCCTGAGGGGTGACCTCAGTCATGGTTATCAATATGGAAAGGGGGAGTGTCAGGAGGACGGAGCCAGGCTCTGCTCAGGGATGGCCAATGGCAGGACAAGGGGCAACGGATACAAGCTGGAACATAGGGAGATTCCACAAAAATATTAGGAAAAGCTTTTTCACTGTGAGAGTGCTGGAGCCCTGGCCCAGGCTGCTCAGAGAGGGTGTGGAGTCTCCTTCTCTGGAGACATTCAAACCCCGCCTGGCCGTGTTCCTGTGTGACCTGCTGTAGGTGATCCTGCTCTGGCAGGGGGACTGGACTAGATGATCTTTTGAGGTCCCTTCCAGCCCCTAACATTCTGTGATTCTGTTGTGCATTCTGGGCCACAGATGACATAATGGCAAAACCCAATGTGTGACCTTTACACTTAGGCTCACCCATGGCTTTTTTTTGCTGTTGGTTATAGATGATTCACGAGGTGTCCAGATTGGAAATGTCAAGCAATCATGAGAAGTGAAGATCTAGACGCAGTTGTTCTTTTCCTTCGTGTGCAAAAACCCCCGTAACTGAAAAATGCTGAGCAATAGCCACATACAGTGTAAGCAATAAATAAGTCAGTGGTCTGACTTCTAGACTGACTCTTAGCAATTAAGCACCATCATGCTATGGGTGGATTGCACAGACTGGTACTGAACTGTTCCAACTTCAACTGAAATCCCATTGGAATATGTACTTCTGTGTGCCTGTGCTGGAGGGAGAAGTGTTCATGCCAGCTGGTCTTCACGTAACCGAGCAGACTGGACGCCTCCTGTGGTGCCTAGAGATGGGTCTTCCTTAAGATTCAAATTTTGATCATTTGGATCCGCTGTCTCTAAAACACAGGGCTACAGAACAGGGCGTGATGTTTCTGGTGTCCATCTAGGTAATTTTTGAGCATTTGTGGCCTTCAGAGCTCTCGCCAGAATCAGGCCCAGGCTGTGTTATGGATTTGTAGTCACACATTGCATTCTGTATATGCTCGGTAAGCAATCTGCAATGTTTTATAATCTTCCCATGTTACTTTGGCTGCATAAAGACAAAAGGTTTGGAAAATGTTCCTGTGAGAATTAAGGACCGCCGCATGTTAGAAACAGCAACATTTGGTGTCACCGTCTCATTTCATGGGTTCTTCCCTGAACTCATCATAGGTAGGGTTAGGACACTTAGAGCTTTCCAGAATTTTTACCCCACAAGACTGCAAAATTAACACATGCCGAATAATATGAAATAGGCTGGGTTGTGGCCCTACTTCATGGACTGCGTCACTCGCGCCATAATACAGTGTCACACGACAGAAATACTGCTCCTGATGGGTAAGGGCATTAAGAGTGCTGAAGTCATGGTACAAAACTTGCTTAATGGTTTGCATTTTTTCCCCGATGTTACAAAACGTAGTTGAGCAGATGGATGCAGCCAGCTGTACATAGAGCTTTAGGGAGTACTGGGGAGAAAAGAGAAAGGTTTTTTTGTTAAGATAAATGTAATAATCTCTGTGATAATTAGTTTAATTTAGATCCCTGCATCTGACTCATTTTTTACTAACCTTGTATGAAGCCTTTCTTGCCTTGCTGACAAGTCTGTGAATTTAGTTTGATTACAATCCCTTTTTTTGTGCTTGCGGATTGCTCACTGATCACTGATATTTTTCATTAAGCAGTTGCTTTATTACATTGTTATTTAGAGGGGAGTAATTTGTGCTTTCTAATTAATTTAATTCCAGGCACACTTAGTAAGTAGCTACAATGAGCCCATTCAAGGGGTTTTAGGTCATATTGACATTGTTTACCAGATGTGCTCGTTTGGTTTAAAACACTGTTAACTCTGTGGTGACAACAGCCCTGTTTGGTTGCATGACTCTTCCACCATCCCTAATCTGCACCTCAAAAAACGCCCAAAATTAGAAGATGCATTTCAAATGCTGGTGGGAGATGTCTATAGGCACTGAATCACAGAGGCATTGTATTGCCAGCAGTGTTGATATAAACTATTAATATTCCATTATCAGATTTAAGGGTAGAGAAGCAAGAAGCCTTTTGGCTTCTCTTAGCCAGGGATGTGAATGCTATTACTCTCCCCGCTAAAAGACTGGATAATGCCAAAGACATGCAAGCTGGGTGTTAAGTCCATGCTTGGCCCATTTACGTCTGAAAAACTTGCAGGGAGCTTCGGGGAGGGTCATAGAATCACAGAATGTGTTGAGTTGGAAGGGACCTTTAGAGGTCAGCTACTCCAAACTCCTCCCGGTGAGCAGGGACATCTCTTTAACTGCATCAGGTTCCTCAGAGCCCCATCAAGCCTGACTTTGAATGTCTGCAGGGATGGGGGCTCCATCACTTCTGTGGGCAACCTGTTCCAATGCTTCACCATGGATGACCATACCAAGCAAGGTATGGCATGAGTAGCAACGGGACGTGGTTAATACTATCAAAAAGCGAGTGTTGTAATTCATGGTTGTCACCATCCGAAATTCATAGGGGCAGGCAATTGTTTTTGCAAGAAACTTTTTGATAAAAGCATTTTCTTGCTAGTGATCCTCCCAGGATTTGGGTGTTATTCATGTGCTTTATGTGCATCGCTGTTAAATGCTGTATCCGTTCCATGATCTGAGCATGCAAACTATGTATAATATATATCATTTGCTCATTTGACCTGCTGCATCAAAACCTGGGATTTTAAAATGAGGCCCTAATTAGATGAATAAATAATGTTTTTACAGGAGAATGTACAGGCAGGTTATTCTCCTGACTATTAGCTTGTCCCGTGAAGAACTGCCAGCATTTATTAACATTTTTGCAGTCACTTATTTTGGTAAAAAGTCAATTACTGCTTGTTGTGCAGCAAAGTCTGGCACAGAGCAGTGACAATGTAAGATTCATCAGCCTCTGAAGGACCCGCCAAACAATGGCCTTGATGCATTTTCCATTATTTTTCAACCATTTTCCGTCTCTTTTTGACTGAAACAGGAAAAATTCATGACAAACTTTGAAGGAAAGGTTTGTTCAGTAGATTCGTACTTAGTAAATTTTAATGTTTAGTGCTTGTGATGCAGTAACGTGAATTCTGGTACAATTTGAAACAGCAACCGAGCTGCGTCTCTGCATTATTTTTTGTGGGGAACATTTAAATTGCTGTGATACCTTTTCTGGCTCATGTTGGTCTGGTAAGGGTGCGTGCATGCATGGGGATCCGTTCTACCTATTGATTTAATAGGAAAGAGCATCTCTTGGAAAGGGAGAGTGAATGTGTGTGCATGCATGTGGAAGGAGAGAGAGAGAGGGAGAGGGAGAATCTCTGTGTGTTTATCTCTGTGATAAATGATGCCTGTTAAAAATGTGACTTGCCATGAACATTATTAGTGTTTTCCTCTTAAAGAGTATTACACAAACACAGTCACCATCAGCAGAAATGAAGCTGCGGTCTCGATTGTTTAATTCCAAAAATTTTGATGTTTCATTGCCCCTTGATCAATCAGTCCCTGGAGGAATATCAGCTGTTGGCTGGGAATGCATCAGAGTGACGTGCAGCGCACAAATATTCCTCAAAAGCTGAAAATACTTGATTTAAAACGTTCATTACAGTTTGCATCCCAGTCTGTGAGCAGGCGGCAAAGTGAGCTTTGTTTATCATTTTTAATTGTGGATCTTCCCTATTCCGAAGTTAAAAGATCTCTCAAATTACCTTAAAATGAGCTTCTTCTTAGGCAGATTTGTAATTCACTTGCATCACTTGTTTTATTGTCTGTGTGAAAGTTAGACGGTGGCATGGCTTTTAGCAGAAACAAAATTCATAAAGTAGAAAACATAATGCGGCATAAATGCCACATAAATCACATCCTAAAGACAAAAGCAGATTTCAAACATCTGAATTACTGAGCACTTAATGTGGAGCGTAATCTTCTGGGGTTTTTTATGTTTGCTTTCTGGAGTGTCACACAGAGCAAAATACGGGGAGTTCCCTCTCCTCTGGCAGTTGACTAAAAGGAAGAAGGTGATGTGCAAAATGCCCAGGAAAGAGCTTTTCCTGCCCTATAGGTAAATCTCCCGGCCATGTGTCTCCGTTGCTGCTGGGAATTGAGCTGTATGCAGAAGTAGTCAATAGAAATCCCACTTGAGTTCTTTTGCTCATCGCACAGCGAGTAAGAGGCTGCTCCAAAATGCAAAATTGTCCTTGAAAAAACCTTCTCTTATGCCCTCCCCGTTGTTTCTTCCTTTGCATCGACTGTGACCTGTGTTAGCTCCCCTTCTCCAAGCTCCCTAGCATCCCCCCAAGGGTCAGGACATTTGCAGCGCTGTTTTCAAGCCTCAGCTCTCTGAAATTGTAACTAACAGATAAAATCTCCGGCTTCAGGGATTTACAGTTAGGATGGACGGGAAGGAAAACGTGTCTTTTCTCAGTAATGTTTACGTGTTTAGGGATAAAAGCTTATTCCCGCGCATGCTTTTGTTTTCCTCTGCCCAGCTCGTGCACGTTTTCCTCTCAAAAACCCCTTTCTGGAGAAATCCTTTTTTAAAAAATCAACCTGTTTCCCCTGCGCCGCTGCGATTGGTCCGGTTAAAATCGCCGAGGCGATCGCGTCAAAAGGAAAGAGCCTGGGCTTTAATTGTAAGCCAAGTCTCCCGTAATCCAGGGGAGCGTTTTGAGATTCTGCCCAGGCGCTGGGTTTCGGCGGGCGCTGAGGGCTGTGGGTTTCTCTCCCAGCCTCCCGGCTGCTGCAGCACAAGTCAGCATCGCTAATGCAGAGAGAGCTCTCCCCCCGCTCCCGGCTCTCGCTCTCTCTCCCTCTCCCTGGGCTTTGATTCGATATGAGCAGACTGGTAACTCCGATGCGAGAGCGAAAGCTGACATAACTCTGCAGATGGCTACGTTCGGATGATACACCTAGGGATTTTTTTTCTTTAAGGGAAGGTAACGTTTAGATGCTAATGTTTATTTTTCCCTTGTTGCCATTTTTCAGGACTGCCGGTCCCAAAGAAGAGCCCAAAGTCGGTAAGCACTTTTCCAGCTACTATTTTTTGTCTGTTTGTCTGCTTTGGAGGAGAAAGGCATGAGTTCGGCTTGTTTTCTTTGTGGGTCTCGATTGTTTTAAGTTGTCTTTCTGTTGCAACCATGATTACCTCGCACGGCTCCTGCTGCATGGGGAGATGAAAGAGGAATGCGGTACGGAAGGGGGACTTGTTTGCAAATAAAGCCTCAGGTTTACAGATCCTCTTCCCTGGAAGATGTGCTTGTCTGTTGTTTAACTTAGCAAAAAGAAGAAAAAAAAAAAAGCTATTGTTTCCTTTTGGAAAGATGGGAGGCTCCACCTTCTTGACAGATACCAATTCCTATCGGGTGCTTCTATAGGGACCAACCTTTTCCATTAACTCCCTGAGTTTTCCTGAGTACCCTTGGCTGAATTATTAACAGAATGGGAAAGCATGCACCTTGTTGAGAGAGAGAGAGAGAGCATGAACGGAGCGTGATTACGGTTCCCAGGAATACAGTTAGCTGTCCAAATGAGCAGGATCGTGCTGCAGGTGTGAGATCCCCCTTTTATTTTTTTTTTAAACAAACAAAAATGAAACACAACAGAATAGTATTTTCTTGTCCCTTCTGATCCGATTTGCATGTAAAGCTGTTACCTGGGTGACGTGTTAGCTAATAGTGTAGAAGCCATGATCTAAAGTATCATTAAAGCTTCATGCATGATGGAGTGGAAGAAATGAACGTGCTATTTGTATGCAACAAGAAGAGGTGGTTTATTTCTAAAGGAAATGCATTACTCAGAGCCTGAAAGTTTCCAGTTATCTGTTGAGAGGGAGAGGAAAAAAGGAGAATTCTCTCCCAGTAGCTTTTTGGGCAAGCAGAGAAAGCGTGATGTTTGCTGTGTTGTTAAGATGGTGCGAAACTTCACCGACAGTCCCTCCCGGCTGCCAAAATCTGCAGCTGGGCACAGCCCACCTCGCTGCAAACCTGGGCAAGAGGTTTGTGGAGGGGCTGAGCAGAAGGCTTCTGCTTTTAATATGAGTTCTCCACTCATCCAGATAGAAAGCCCTGAAATAATTAATGTGATTCTGATGGCTTAGGGCAGCGCTGATTAAAGTCATGTGAGCCCAGGCCTCTACCATTGTCAGCTCGCATTAATGTTGAGAGGGAGAAGTGCGGGGTGCACTCCCTCACAAATCACGGGCATGTCAGACCCCGCGCGCTCGCCTCTGTCACACGCAGAGATTGTTTCAGCCTTTGGTAAAGCAGAAGCGAGTGCGTAACATACATACGTGTCTGACGCGTTTCTTTTCTGTGCCTACACTTTTTTTCCCCAGTCAGAGCAGGAACCGGCCCCAATCAATGAGTCTTGGTCTTTCCAAAGTGTGGAGGCTCCTGCTTTGCCACACACGCGTCTGGCATCGGGTGAAGCGGGATCCTGCCGTGTCAGACACCTCTCTGGTTGGCAGCGATGCGCCGTGAAAATCTGAGCAGCATCTAAATCCGTATCGGGATAATCCTGCCTTGGTGAACAAAGAGACTGCTTGCGAACAGGTGTAGCTCTGCAAAAGCAGATTTCTCCCTCTTATTTGCTTTGAGGAGCTGGTGAGCCTTGGGAAAGCAGTCTGATTCCCTTGTGTGCCTGTTCCCAACCCCTCTCACCTTGCTTTAGGGTCCCTCCAGTAATTTACTGTAGCCCTAGGCAGTGCTGTTGCCTCTCAAGCTCAGGATTCACAAAAAGCAGAGCCTCCTGTTCCCCCCGCCTGCACATCGGATCATTTGCATTGGCAATTAGCAGCGGTGTTTTACACTGCCGCATTGTGCAGCAGCTTTAATGACCGTCTTGGAGGGGCAGAGCAAAGCGTGTCGGACTCGGTACAGCTGCTTCTTCCCTCCCAGGCGTCGGTGATGTGCGGGGGTTGAGCACGGAACCCTGGAGCGAAGCACCTCAGGGCGCCCATGTGCAGAGGAAGAAACTGTCCTTGGGTCTGTCCAGGGTGGATTTACACCAATGCCAGAGCTCGCGTGGCCAAGGCGATGGGTCAAAAGCCTAAAAGTAATGGTATTGCAAACACCTCCCTCCCTCACTGCTGCGGGGCGAAGGGAGCCCGGCCCTCTTGGCCGTGAAGATCCCCACTTGCTCTGGTCCTGACGTGGGACATCCTGCTCGGCTGGGATGCCGTCCCGCTGCTCCTTGCCCGGTTGTTCCCTGGGGATGATTTGGGTGCTGCCGGCTGAGCTCTGTGCCCGCTGGCTGTCCCCAGCTGCCCGCCTGGCTGTGGGGCTTGCCTTCAACACGCTGCCAGCTCCCCAGCTCCCTTCGCCTGACACAGCGGGGAGATGTTTTCCAGCATTCTTTAATTAAGAGATTAGCTGCAGTTAGAGGACAGCACGCATCCAGGCCGGGAGCGGTTGGCCTGAGCTGAACTTGTGCCCGTTCTTTGCTGCTTCTGCTGCATCGGGGGAAGACGTGAGCTCAGGTGTCCCTCCGTCCTCCTCTGGTTCACGCAGCGCAGTGGTGAGCCCTCTCTTGTTACCTCATACCCTTTCCCAAAGCCTGAGTGCACTCCCAGCTCGCTGCCAACGGCTGTCTCTTTCTCTAACAAGTCCAAATTTTCCGCTATCAGCCCCAAACCTGATTCCCAAAAGGCCAACTTCAGGCTGTTGGATACTTCCCGACTCGTTTTAGTCCTTTGGGGAGGTTTGTTAGACCTGGGGCTGTGACGGAGCCTGAGAATATTTTTCTGCCCTGAGCTCAGTTTTCCTGGGCTGAATTTTACAGCCTCTATGTATATTCTGATGAGCTTTACTCTTTTTCTCAGTTTTAAAGGAGAATTTTTCAACCTTGGGGCAAGAGGCAAACTAATAAAAATTTTGCAGCCGTACATGGGACTGGGCACTTCCAAGTTCTTTCTTCTCCCTTCACCCAACCAAGGACATGCTTACAACAGCCCTCTGTGCTGCTTCTTAGTGTTCAGTTTCCCATTGATTCGTTTTTAAATGAAAAAGGGTAATATTTTTGTATTGACTGTCTGGGAGCATACATTTTAAGCATGCAAATTCCTGGTATTGTAATTTATCTTGCTGTAAGATGGATGAAAAGAAACTTTTTAATTCTTTTTTTCCTCGTTGCTTGCATCAAAATACTCCACAAGGGGGCAAAGATTCCCATTTGCAGCTCTGCTGCTTGTCACTGCCAGGACTAGCTTCTCCAAAATGCTCTAGAGCACAAAATCTGCAGCTATATCATCAGAAGATGGGACCACTGCAGGGAGAAGAAACTGCTAAGCTCTTCCAAAAATCTAATTTTTGGTTGGGATGTGAACAAATACGTTGTCATCATAGCTGAATTGTAGCCAAAAACGCAATTCCTATGCGCAGCCTGTCCCTGACAAGAGTCTTGCCATGTATTTCAGGTGGATAGGCAGGACTTGGGGCTCTGCCGATGTCCTATTTTTGTCAGGAGGAGAAGTGGGTTCTGCAGCTTGAGTTGTTTGTACGGCACATCCCCCTTCATTCAGAGGCTGTTTTCCCCCTCACCACCTTGAAAGGCAGTGGGAGGAAACCACAGCAACTCTTCCCTCTTGCAGTTTTGTGCCCGGAGAATCCCGTGCCAAAAAACTTTGGTGTCCGTTCGTGCCGCAGGACGTGCCCCGTCGTCTCTTCTGCTGTGGGTTTCTCTCTGCCTGACACAGACATACACAACTGCTGCTAATAATTAGTGTCCCATCGCTGCCTGCAGCCGCCTCTCAGCCGTGTCATGGACCTCGGTGTTTTCAGCAGTCACTGTTCAAAGCAACATCTAATTACTCTTTCATTTAGCATGAATGACAAACTGGTCTCTGCAACGTGGGCATCTATAACATCTTCCAGGCACTTGGAGAATTTTGTAAGCAGTTTTCCTCTGGTCTTCTTTTGAAACACAACAGCTTCAAGCTCCCTGGCTTACATTGTCTTTTCTGTTTTCTTCCCACCCTGTAATCAGAGGCCGGTGTAGTGCTCAGCGTGGGGTCACTCAGGTTCTCTGCTGAGGGAGAAGCTGCCTTTCAGCTTGGCAAATGCAGTGCCCATGGCTGGAAATGGGATTGCACAGTGGAAGACGGGTGCGTGCTCAGACCCTGACCACCGCTGCCCCCTCTTCTGCGGCACTTGCCTCCACAGCGGCACTTGCCCCCGCAGCTGCACTCGGAAATCCGAGCCACAGATGTTCCTGTTAACCTCAGCCAGTGGGAAAAGGGCAGCTAGAAAAGACCTTCATCCCAGTACTACATTTCCTTCATCTTGTGTTTTGCAGGATGAGCGCTGCGAAGTTTCAGCAGTGCAAGCTGGTACAGGCTACGCATCTCAGACTTGGGGCTTGTGTAGGGCACGAGAAGCTGCAGCTTTCCACATATTTATTTTGTAATGGCCATAACGCAGTACCAAGGCGATGGTGTTTTCCCATCACCTGTATTTAAGCGTGCCTTCTACCTAAGTGAACTCGAAGTAGTCATCATAGTCTTCATTTCTAGCCACTTTTGGTTGAGAGTCTTTCTGGCAAGCTTGTTATCCACAGCTCTGGAGAAGACCATAGACTCCAGAGGATCAGCTCTTACTGACTTGAGTAGTTCAGTGCCCCGTGCTCTTGAAGTACTGTCAGAAGTCAACACAATTCAGCTGATCTGCTCTACTTTGCACTGAAAACCACGGTCTGCATCTCAGGGTGAGATCTGAACCGCCCGCTCTGCAGCAACCCATCACCAAACAGCCCTGTGCTCATTTGGCTTTTCTGCCCCTCTGTGAGCTGAGCTGGACAGTTGGATCTTGGACCCAGGAGAATCATTCCCAAAGCTAGGAACAAGGCAGGGGATAGAGGAGCCATCCTTGTACTGGCATATGATCAGCTCATCTCTCTTGGGGAAGCTCCGCCTTTGTGCCACGGCAGAAACTCCTTCTGCGCAATCCATGGTTGTGTTGCCCTTTCTCTGTTCCCCTCTTCAATTCCTAAATAGAGATGTTAGAAGCTTTTTTGAAAGAGCTATTGTTTGGAAAAACAACTGTTCCTCTGAAGAAGCTTTCCCGTGTTTTTTTTTTCCAAAATGTCTGTGCAGCCGCAGCTCTAGCTTAGTTAGAGATGGTTTTCCTGAGATATGCTGACACTTCTGTTTGCAATCCGAGTACGAAACCAAATTCATAATTCACTCAGTATTTAGACCTTTCATATCATAGAGTGGGAGAACTTTAAAAAGTTCAAACTTTGTTTCTCCTTAAATCAGAAAGTTTTCAGAGAGTTCTCAGCGTTTCCCCAAGGGCTGAATAAAGCTTCACATTTGAGTCCCTGTACTCTGGCTTCTGTAAACCAGCTATTTCCAGTGAGATTGGCCTCAAGTTTCACAGGATGCCTGTAGTTATTTTAGTAGGTTGGCCAAACAAACAAAACAATCCAGATGGCTGGACTGAGAGCTATAAAGTGGTTTTTTTCTCTTTTTTTATTTTTGAGTTACAAAGGAGTGATTATCCACAGCGTAGATGTTTCAGAACTGCTTCGTTTAAAACTGAAGGGCTGCATGTGAATTAGCTTCTTTTACCACTTAAAAAGCTAAAAATGTTTGAAATTGGTTCAGATATTTGTATTTGAAAGTCTGCAGATAAGTAATCACAGCAGGTATGCTTTGTTCAAAATTGCTTTAAAGGACAAAGGCAATTTCACATTCTAGTCGATCGAGATATCATTTTTAAAAAAATGCTGGTACTGGATCAACAACTTGAATGTAAGGCTGTGAGGTTAAAGTCATTTGGGCTGTTGGAGCCATTTTTTTTCTCAGTGTAAGCCTAAAAATATGTGCAGGGACAACAACAACCAAAAAAAAACCCCACCAACCCCCCCCAAAAAAGCAGGAAATATTATTGTTAAGACTCACAAAGAGGGCACTTTCATATGGTGACTTTCTCCTCCATAGTGGATTCAGCCCTGCACCAATGGTGCATGGGCCACCTGGGGTTCTGTGTTCAGAGAAGAGGGAGGTGTCCCCAGACCTGTGTGTCCTTCAGTCCACCGTGCTGATCTGCTCTGCGTTTGCCGGTGACTTTTCTGGCAACCCCTGCCTGGTTTTCAGTGGAGAAGTCGCTGAAAGCAGAGACTCTTCTTGCGATGTTTTCAGGTACCCCCTAACAGCAGGAGCCTTTAACTTTTTGTCTGAGGATTCTTGGTACGGTGGCTGACCCCTTTTAGCCAGGAAACTGTGGATGTTGTAAAAACAACCTGTCGGATGCTTTTTTTCCAGCAGCCCTTTGTGTCACCGCAGCCCCGGGAAGGTGCCAGTTCCCTGTGCTGGAGCAAGTGAGAAATTGGAGTTGACCTTGATGCCAACCCAAGGTCATCTCAAAAGAGCATTAGAAAGCATTTGCTGTACAGTTTGGGGAGCTCTTGCTGAGGGAGGATTTTTGCTGCATACTGAGTAGTACAAATCCTGGCAATGCAAATGTGACTTGTGCGTCGTTTGAGCACACCGTTATGAATTTGAGTTAAGAATTATGTACGCTGCTTTGCTAAACATTGAGCAGACAGAGCTCTTGACACAATGCTTTTGAATAAGCCTGGAATTTAGGCGGATATATTTTTTCCTGTTTTAATATGCTCAATTAAAACAAGGAAATCAAACTCCAAATAGACGTTTTCGCGTTTGTGAAGGTCTGTGGTAATCCTGTGGATGCTCTGGGAAGCAGCAACCTGAACGTAGTACTCTGTTGTCCACCAACTGGTGATGTGGGGGCTGCAGGAGCTGCAGAGGAAAAGTGATCTTTCGTAGTAAGGGCTGTGCCTGCATCTGTTTCAGAGTTTAAGTTTTCACTGTAAAACCTAGTAGTTTTTCCTTCGAGGCTCAGGTTAGACCCTAGTGTCATCCGAGTGGAAAGTTGCAGAGTTCTTCTGCCTTAATGTAGGAAAAAAATAAGTCCACTGAAACTAGTAACCTGTAATGAAATTGAGTTTTGGTACATGTGTGAGATGGAGACTTGTGTATGTTTTTATGATAAATGACTTTGGTTTGCATATCTCTTTCTGACAGTCTGCCTATCAAACTCTGTCATTGGGGAATTTAACTGTACCCAGCATTAACTGGTGGCAGCAAAACTGTGATTTTTATATTTACTTATGTGCATCTAGAAACGCTGATCAAAGAAGAGAGAAAAATTGATGGAAAACACCCACTCAAAGACCAATAACCGTCTGTTCTCCCTCTTTCCACTTGCTTTCTTCCTTACAGCAACCACTTGAAAGGAAAGACAGCCAAAACAGTTCCCAGCATAGCGTCTCCAGCCACCGCAGCGGGCACACCGCGTCCCCCGTTCACAGCACGCAGGTGCTGCCGGACTACACCGCCGCGGAAGCACCGGCTGCGGATCAACCGGACAGTTCTGGGCAGAAAAAGCCAGATCCGTTCAAAATCTGGGCCCAGTCCAGGAGCATGTATGAAAGCCGACGTGAGTATGAAGCAGGCGTGGTTGCTAAGGCTACGGCTCTGGCGGCTGCTCTCTGTGTATTTTCTTTGCAAAGAACTGAGTCTTGTAGATTTATATTGAAAATATAAAGCTTCAATTTGTTAATTTAGTATCCGTCAGTGATATCTACTTGATAGAGGTGCAGTTTCGTTGCTGATGAGGAATGGATTTAGACCGTCTCTAGGAAAGGGCACTTAGACAAAAGCTTAATGCAAAAAATCCCTTTAAAATTAAAGACCATCTTTTCCCTTATTCTTTAATTTTACTTTTAAATTAGGCTGAAGGAGAATTTCCAAGTTTGTTATCCAGATCCTAAACTCTTTTTTTGAGGTTAAGACTCAGTCTGATATGTATAGGAATTTCAGTGAGGAGGGGAAGTATTTAGTTTGCTGAAATTTGTATCAGATGCTTTCCACTCTCACCCTGGGGAGGAGAAAATCCAGCTGAGCCATTTTACTTTGACCAGAGTGGACACTTGAACAATACAGATATCAAATCCCTATTCTAAGTGGCTTTTATGGCAATTAATAATCTGCACACTTGGCTAATAGTTCA